TCTGTTCAGGTACTAGGAAAACTGGAATTGATACTGTTATATATTTGAGTATAAATAGTATTACCTAATTATTGAGAAAGTCACAGTTATACTTGAAGAGTTCATTTGCAAAAACCGATAACTCCATTTTATATGTTTTTTTTTTTCCTTCAGAAATCACGTTTTTTTTATTGCGCATTCCAAGTAATATCAATCAAACTGCATTTGCAAGGTTCCGTTAAAACTTTTAAGCATTTATTTTCCTTTTTCGCCCTGAAGAAGATATCACAGGTTCATCAAGTTCGTCGAAATTATCCATCCTCGATCACTTTTTTTAGTGAGCTTTGACGAAACTCCTCTCAGCTAGCACGTCTTTTCAAAGTGAAAGTAGCCTTGTCACCTGACCTGAATACAGCGCGCTGATTCGCTAATCGCTCAAATGGATTTATCGGCTTCTGTTCAAAAACAACAAGGGCGCTTGTCGGGCTTCTGCAGTAAAACGTGAATTCGCGATGCTTTGAAAGTGGACAAAACCGACTTTTTTGACAAAACGTGTTTAGGGTTCATTTCGCGCTGTATGTGGAGAATAATGCACGGCAATCAGCTCATTTTTTTTTTAAAGTGGCGTTTATCGGGTTTTGCAAATTAACTCTTCACTTATTATTAATAATTAAAAATGATATGCTAGGAACATAAAAATGTATACTATTTAGTTTTAAGGCAAATAGGTTAAAACAGCTTTACAAAAACCTTTGCCCCATACACACTCTCCAGAAGAAAGCAAGAGAGAGTGTCCGTATGCTGCTTCCAGACAGGAATGCACACTGTGCAGGTTTTGTCATGCACTCATAGCTCAGGGATGCGGACTTGGCCTTTCCTGTTTAGGAAACACTGATGACATTTTAAAAGCAACACAGTCTTAACAATTGGCATCTGATTGGAAATCCTTTTCCATCAATGACATGTTCTTCTTCAGATGACATGTAAAGACACACTGATGGATGATACACAGATGCTATAAGTAGAACATAATGGAGCAGCTGTGGTGGAGAGACAGAGGGCCAAAATACCAGCGAGATCAGACGTAATCTGAAGTGAAGTTTAAGGGCATTAGTGCATATGACATTCAGCTGCTCATAATCTCTACCCAATGAGCATTTCAAACGTCAGATAGCCTTTGCCACCAATCTAATAATGAACAAGTGTACACAGGAGAATCAATAATGCTTGTGATCTTTATTTCCAAAACAGCCTTACTGTAATGAATTTTTTTTTTGTAGATGCATGTAGCCCGTTATATGGCTCTCAGGCCATAGATAGGTCATTTTCTCTTTCTTTGCTATTATTGGTATTACTGGCATGTAAGTTCATGTAATCAATGAATGAGTGTTTCCTTTAGAATCTTACATACACAATGTTTATATTCAGTAAAGGATTCGCAGGATTCAATAAATCCCGTCTTAAAGGTGGGTTAAGCGATTTCTGGTAGCCAATGTTGACATTTGAAATCATCAAAACAAACACGCCCCTATACCCCAAAAGGGCCTCGCCCCTATTTTGATAGCTCCTCCGCCCCACACATACGTACGCAACCCAGGCAACGATTAGTTCTGTGAAACAAAGCAAAACCAATGTTA